ACTTTCACTTAAAGATGGCAGTGATGAGAAAAGGCAGTTAAAGTACAGAAAGAGAAAAAAACAGTATTAGTCTGATAATTGTAATTATTTCTAGGAAACCCTAGTTTTTAAAATTAAAGTAAGGAAAACCTTGAAGGATTTGGCTACTCAAAAAAGTGCATAGTGGCAACAGTAACAAGTGAAAGGAAGGATTTGCAAGATTAACTCCCTGTTGTCTTCTACTCCCACAGTTTTACTTGAATATTGTTAATTGATTGGAATAACCAAAGGCCTTTCCGTAAGGGTTGGTAATTACCATAATTCTACAGCATAAAGGTCAGCACAGCAGCTCCAAGTCCTTTAATATTAAGTGTTGGTTTTGTACCCACGCTATTAATAGCGGGAAGAAACATCAGGTGTCATTACATTGAACAGCAAATTTTGTACTTGCTGTTCTCCCAAACTAACAGCTAAATGTACGTACTTCATGTTGTGAAGCAGCGAAGTTACAGCCAGATGGGAATGCTATAAAATAAATGAGAACCAACCCTGCTGGCTGCACAGGTAAATCCAAATGTAAGGAGGTCAGAAAGACCAATTTCTTATATTTGTCATTTAATATCAGAACCATCACTTCTTGTTTCTCTCAGTGTTCCACTTGCTATCCCAACACTACTGGAACCCGCGTCAATAGTGCATCAGAGTCCTCTGTGCTAGAGGCAGATCTTACTATTTTATGTAATAACAACAATAGTACAGGGAGAGAAAAAAAACCCCACTTTCGAAATTTTGATTCCAAATAGGCATTAATTACAGAAAAATATTTCACTTAATGCTTTATCACAGGCAGTGGAAGTGACAGAAGATTTTTAGACATAATTACTCTAGTTCCTTGTTTTCCTGGTTATTAAAAACCACTAACAGTGAACAATATAATTCAAAGAGGACAAACCTCTTCCACAAGAAAATGGCCTGCGGAGAACTTGGAGCCACTTTTTAATTTTTCTGATTTTAAACTGTCTTAATCAAAACAGGCCAAGATTTTTGTCATACTGGGAGCTGAAAATGCTTTTATACTGCACCAAACATACTTCTTGTATTCTTGTCTTTATATACCAAACATTTATTTCATAGGAGATTTTTTTAGTACACAACAAAATTTAAGAGATTTACAGAATTATCATTTTGTCACCGTTCCTGTTAATACCTTTAAAAAAAAGGACTAATAGTTGATGAGAACAGGCTATCAATCTTCAGCAAAATGGAATCTAAAACAGTGTTAAACATTTTAATGTTAGGTTATGTTCTTCACATCGTTTCATAGCCAAACCTTTGATACTAATTTTTGATTAACTGTTTTAGGAACAGAATTTATTTGCTGCACTTCAAACTTTTGCAAACATTCTTTTCAACTCACTGCATGCCTCAGTAACTTCACTTCAAAGAAAATCTGAGTGGGGCTGAAGCATTAAGGCTACCTCATACACATATTTATAAGATATTTTAGAAAAAAAAAATCCAACTGAGTTATAGACTATTTTAACTTCGGGTTGTTTTTCACTTGAAGTGATAAGGTTTGGTTTGGCTTCTCTCCTTTTGGGATAAAGATCACTCATAGCAAAACATTTGGTTTTTAAATTGCCCTTTACGTCAAAGATTTAAATCCTCTTACGCTTTAGCTAAGTGGATATGCTGTAACAAGCTTCCTCGGAGGCTGCAGGCTTAAGCATGGCAGAAGACACAAGAGCATACATCAGCTCTGGTCCCCCAGTCATGCTTCAATACAAACCAATAAATTCCCCTGGTACAGAGAGGTAAATTTTAAAAAGGTGTTTGTTTTTTTAAAGAATGACAACAATGTTTGACTTTTGGGTTTAGTGCTCAAAATGTAGTTTCCTGGTATGCTTACTTTCAGAGTATTATTTGTACAGTAGAAAATTCAGCCTGATGCACTGACATGTATGGAATGAAAAAGAACGCAGGTCCAATCGAACGTGCTGTGAAGTTGTCTCTATGCCATTATTCACCTTCATTCTGCTAGCACAGCCGAGTCCCAGAATGCAGCAGCACTCTCCTAAGGTCACTCACACCTCTGGTAGACATTAGCATTTGCACTTAAACTTTTAGGTATGTTATCCATTATACAAAGCAAAATGCAGCATTAGTTATCTGGCAAGACTTTCAGTTACACGCTGTCAAGCTATGACATCAGCCAAATTCAACGGTTCTCTAGAGACTGCCTTATTAAACAAAAGAATTAATCAAATCGACTGCTTTACGTGGCTCATGAGCCTATACTCTGTCCAGGAATCTGAAGACTATCAAATCAGGGACTGAACTGTCCCCTGTCACTGAGGAATAAAGGGCAAAATCTTTGCTCAAGAGTATGCAAAAATCCTCTAACAGAGCTAGGAACATTTTCTCTCATTCTGTTTCTTAGTAAAAACATCTCAAATGCTGACAGCAAAGTTAAATATTCAGAGTAGATTTCAGTCCTCTTCCCATTTGTAATGAGAATGACACACACAAAAATTCATTACCAACCTGAACTGGAGCTACACTTTCTTTGTGCCAACAGTACATCGGGCACATACTATCACAAGGCATAGCATAATAAAGAGGTTTGAATTAGCAGAGAACAGTCACGGAATACAATTAAAAAAGTAAGTGAATGCCACTCCCCTCCCCTTTGAATTCTTTCTGATTTGGTATTGAGCATTTACACTGTTTCCAAGTGGCACTTGTGGCTCAGACCTCTGAAAAAAACTTTCCTACCTCGGAAATCCAGTTGTTCTGCAGTCACTCTGAATTGACCTAATGAAGTAGCTCACCTTTCTGCATTACATATTCTGATGCATGGTGTGTATATTTTGCAAGGGAGAAGAAAATAGAGTTAGCCATTCTGCCAAAACAGGACAGTATTAAAGAAGTGAAGGCAAATATATCTCAATTCAGCTAACAGACTGTTCCGTAGGGAAGAATCTTCCACGTTGAGCCATTTTTGGAGCAGAATGTGTAGACTTGGAACAGGGGAAACTGACACTTCTATGCAAGCTGCAATTACCCTCTCCCTCCCAAAAAGGAGCAAGTACATACCCTACACATATTTAATCTCAGAAATAAGTTGATGGGGTTTACCTGTTCTCGATGCCCACACTTGGCTGCCACTTGCAGTGACTGGAATGGAGAGGAGTGATTTCGGAGGGACGGGCAGAAGGACCGTGCTGACTCCATATGGACAGTACCCTGCCCAGTGAGTATGGCAATGAAGAGACGAGGTCATCTGATACAGAAGCTGGATACCTTGCCCCCTTCAAACCCTGTGCGAATTGTGATATAAACAGTCTCTGGATGGTAGGAATATGACTGGTTACGTTTCTTCTTCTCGTCCAAATCCTGTAACATCCAGGGGAAGAAAGTGCTAACACTGTGTGAAGGCCAAGCATGGAACAACCTCCTCTTCTTTCAGCTACAGCACTTCTTCCACGGTCAGGATGAAGGGCAGCAGCCCTTGGGGTTGTTACAGAGAAAGAAGAATGCAGCTCATTATCTAGACTGGAATCTTCCTTGAAAGCTGTTTTATCTGAAAAGCTCTGAGACAGGAGAAAAGAGAAAGTCCACTTTGTAGGCGGTGCTGGCATTTCTCCCCGAACTGGCCTGGGATGTACAGAGCGCTGGGATGTAATCCCTGTGAGGTCTGTCACAGGACTGGAGTCCAATTCTATGTGAAAAGAAATCGGGAGAACTGCCGTATCCAGGAAGGGGGTTGGAGGCTTGTGGCTCAAGTCTGAAAAAAGTATTTTGGTAGATTCCACAGGATAAAGTGCCAAAGACTGAAAGCTGAACATCTTGGTGCACCAACTGTCAGCCCAGCGTGAGTGTAAGTTTCTGTTAATGCAAGAAAAGGCTTCCAAGAGATTTTTAGATCTGCGCTGGCTGTACCTCTCAGCCACTGGAAGAATTTCAGAAGAATATGGCAGAGGTTTTGAGCTATGGATGCTTTTGGCAGGTGCCAGGAGTTTGCTAGCCATTGCAGACAGCCTGCTCAACAACGCTGTTTCTTTGGTACATTTTCTAAATTTCAAGCTGTTCAACAAACTGCACCCCTTGGCCCTCTGCCTTGGCATATGCACAGATGGCATGGCTGGTTCCGGCTCCACCGTCGGTGGTTTATGTGGAAAGTAAAAAGATTTGAGAAGTGTGTTTTCCTCTTTAGGGAATATTTCTGGGGGATTCTCAACAAAAGGCGAACTTTTAATTTTTTTGATTTTTCTTACTGTTTTCAGCTGATATGATGTGGGAACTTTTTTGCACATCCTTCCAGGCTGTCTTTTTAATGGAAGAAGTCCTCTTAATTTATTTGTAGTTCCAAAGGCACCAGGGATTCCATCATACCCTAAGTTAAGGTTCAGGTTTTCCATTTCTGAATCCTGAGTCTTCAAAAACTGTGAGCTAATACCTGCAGTAATCTTTGGCCTTTTGACTTCTTGTAAAGTGCTACATAGCTTATTTTCACTGCTTCTGACAGCAAAAATCTTCTCTGAAGGACCTTCAAACTTCAGATTCTTTGATGTCACCAACTCATTTGAAGAGCTGCGCCAGAGCTCAGAACTGTGCAACATACTTGGTTGCAGCATGAGTTTTGCTTTCTCCTGGTATTCTGACTTCTGTTCTCGTTGTGCCTTGTCTGACAGACATACTTCCATCTTCTCATAATTCTTTTGTTTAAGTACCTGACATTTCTCTATTTGATCAAGTCTCTCTGAACCTAAAGTCTCTTTTTCCTTGCAAACTGAATGACTTGGTATAGTGTCCTGGACTTCTGCAATCTCCTTGACATGATCTTCACTCTGTGCATTGAATTTGTAAGGCACACATACTTCACTGCAAACCACGTGGTTGGGGGATGATTCTTTGCAACTGTTTGATGGTATATTCATATACGGACAAAACATGGGTGTTGTATTATACTGCAGTTTTGGTGAAGTTTCTGCGTCAGATGCATCTTCAGCTTGACAACCATGCACAGTTTCTGAAAGCAGAGGGGTACCTGCTAAGTTTGTGAGCTTTGTAGCATTTTTTCTTTCTTTGGAAAGATGATTTACATTAGATCTTGGGATTTCTTCCAAAACCTTTTCATAGTTCTCAGTCCTGAGAGGGACTATTTTGCTACCAGCCTCTCTTGAATCTTCTAACGAGGCCCATAGACAATCTCCTCCATCAAAAAAAGAATCTACGGGCAACTTTCTTCTAGGGGCTACTTCTCTTCCCATCCTCTCTTGCACACACATATTTTTAAACTTCTTTCCACTGTGAGTACGTTTTGGCAAGGTCACATCCATCTCTCTTACAGGTAGCATGCTAAGCCCCTCATCTCTCAGAGTTGCTTTGCCACGTGCACGAACCCTTGAGCTTTCTGCACCTTTCCGAAAGGTGGTTGCTGTTTCATTCTCAGAAGATGGAACATTAGTATTGCTGGCCTTTCTTTTAACAGACATTGGTACAGAAAGAGGTTTTGTCACTGAAGAATCTTTGCTAAAAGCTTTGGCTGAAGATGAATCACGATTATCTATGTGTGTATTCTCAGATGACACGCAGAGCTTTTCTTTCTCAGGCAGAGAGTGTCCCATGTTCAGAGCTGATGGCGTTTCTGAATCTGCCCCAGTCTCATTAAAAGATTCTTGGTTGTCAAACTTTCCGAAACGGGATGGACCTATACCCTTCTGAACACCAGTTTCTTCACGAGGCTCAAACGTTAACTGGGGGCAAGAGTTATGTACAAGAGATTTTACTCTCAGATTTTTTTTTGTTTCTGCCTCTGAAGGCACATATGTATTTTCTGGCTTGTGTGACAGATTCCCATGACCTGGTAAGAAGGGTAAAAATTGGGCATTAACTGTATTTTCCTGGTCCTCCACCAGAAATCTTTGCTGCTCCATCTCTGGCAAGGATTGCTGCATTTTGTTTCCTGCGAACGCTAGCTCTGCTTTCTCGTTTGCACACTGGATAAAGCAAGCATGCTGTGAGCAATGCGACTTGCTATCAGAAAAGCTTTCTTCACAAGTGCCTTTATTTTCTCTTTCACATCCACTCTTGGGTCCTTTTAGATCGAGTGTCTTCTCAGTTAGATCACCAATGAAGCCCACGTCTCCTGAGCAGCCTTCATTTCTCACACCGCCCAAAGAGTCCAAATCCACTACATTATCTGTTAGAGTTCCTTGAAAATTGTCTTCTCTTGCACATTTATGCACTAACAGAGGCAGGTCGTCACTTGTTTTTATCATTATCTCTTCACTTTGATCAGAGCCAATTGATATTTTGCATTCTTCCCCAGGAGTAGCGTTAGTTCGTAAGACAGCATTCGTTTTTTTGTTTAAACTTTCTAAATGTTGCTTGCTGCCTGTAACTGCGCCATCAAACGCACTCTGACAGGCAAGATATTGTTTGCCCATTGGACAAAGGGTCTTTTCTGTTTGGCCGGCACATTGTGTTTGAATATCCAGGTTGCTGAGTAATGGACTTGAATCACAGAAGGAAGCGTTATACTCAGAGGAGTCGGCTGCCAGTGACAACGCTTCTTTATTCTTGTATGTCCCTAGTCCTCTCTTCTTTGGGCCTAATGGAAAGTGGCAAAATCCAAAATTATAGACACAGGGGTTTTTATTCAAATATCTGACCAACAGCTGTTTGCAAGTCTTATTTCTCTGATTGCCTTCAGGAGTCTTTGGAGAATCCACAGGTCTTGTTTTATCAAATGCATCTGCCTGGAGAGCACACATGCTGGTTTCTTCTTTTGCCTCATCTCTGTCACAATCAATCTCACTGCCATCAAATTGTTTCACAACCTCCATATTCTTACTTGAAATTTCTTCTCTCACCAAGGTAGCAGTAGGCTTCTCTGCAGTATAAGCTGAGGAAAGCATGTTTTCTGCTGCGGAAATGTCATTTATCCCATGCAGATCTACACCTCTCTTGCCCCAGTCACCTTGACAAGGAAGAGATCCACATACCAAAGGGAAGTGTGCTTCTGGAAAGATGATCGCCTTTTCCCTATTATGTCCAGCTGAAGCTTCTCCTTCCAAATTACCATTTTCTTCAATCTTCTCATCAACCTCAACGTTAAAAGAATGACTGTTCGGGAGAACAGCATCTCCACGTGTACCACCTGATAAACTACATGAAGTACTGGCAGCTGTACGTTGGTCTTTTACACTCCGAGTATTACAATTCCCTGTGTCGCTATGTTCATTTTCTACACCAGTGACCACTGTCTCTGTGTTTCCCACTGAAGACTTCAGGTTCTTTTGGGAAATTTGGTTTGCCATATTTGGGTTATCAAAAGTCCTGGAACTTACTGAAGACTGGAATTTGTCTTTATAAAGCACAATTTCAGCGACTTGCTCCTCTGTTGTTCCAGAAGCACCAATGGATTCTCTTCCAGACAGATCATCCCGAACCTTGTCCCCGCTTGAAACCTCATTAGCAGTACAAGGAGGACACTCGTTACGATGAGGTTCTCTTGATTTTTGTGCAACAGGAGATAGAGGTACATTTACTGTATAACTCAAATTAGTTTCTTTGCCAGTGGACAAGCTGTCATTACTGTTCGCTTCTGTAACTTCAACTAAAGTGCCAGCCAACTCTTCTGATGCGGTATTACTCTCAGATTCCTTTTCAAGCAGTTGTGCTTCAGATGAATCTTCTAGCTTGGTACTAAGATCCAGACTGCTGTAGCTACTGGGCAGAGAAATTTCACTGGAGGTATTATAAAAGCGTAGGTCTGTCTGTCCAGTTTCATGGGAAGCAGTGTTGCTGGTTTCTATCAACGGACTATTTTCTTCTATCTCATCCTTGCACAGATCACTGGCAGAAAATCGCCACTGGTCCTTTTTCAACTTATCACCTTCTGATGGGACCATTTTGAATTTTTCTTTTGAGAACTCCTCAGGAGATGAAGCAACACGACTACAAACTGAAGAATGACAATGCTCAGGATTAGTGCTCGCTTGAGCTTCAGGCCAGCTACCAACTTCAACGCTATGTCCCACAGCAATTTTCCTCCGGACTTCAGCAGCCTCTTCAAATTCAGAGCTGTGTGATTCACCTATACTAGCACTTACTTCCCTGTGATCAATTTTAGCACTAGATAATCCTTCACTCCTCACCTCTGAGACCGGCTCTACTGGTACGGATGTGGAGGTTTGATATTCTACAAACCCAGTTCCATGATCATAATGAGTCTGACTTCCAGTGTTTTGGGGAAGATACTTTTTTGGGGGTTCACTGGTAATTCCATGGACTGCAGTACTATTGTTTTCTAATGGCATATCTCTTAAGTCCAGGTAACAGATGCTGTTCAGAACAGAACATAAAACTTCAGAACTTGTTGTGGAGAGTATTCTACAGCTTTCTACTGATGACAACCTATGAAGTTCATTATGTTTAGATACTGGACCAGTACATAAGTCATGAGCACTGCTTTCTTCATCCTGCTGATAAATCTGGCAATTAGCAAGTGATACACCGAATTCATTAACATGATTTCGTCCGAGTAACTTTTCTTCTCTAGACTCCAGAACAGATACAGCATTACCCCCTGTTCTCAATGGCATGGCAGCCTGGGTTTTCAACCCAGCATAGTCATTTGTTTCTTGTGGATGCTCTGTGGCTGATTCAATGTCCGTGACTTTTAAAGGCTTTAAAAAATCTAACATGCTGGTTTCTGAAACCCCAGCTCTGGCCATGACTGTGTTTACGTCTGTGCATTCACTGCTCTCAGGTGGAAGACCTTTACTCACTCTGTCATTCCTGTTTCCTGCTTTACTAAATATCCTAGGCCCATCAGCCTTCATACCTTGTACTTCTTCAGCGAGCTTTGGCAGAGTTTCAGCTGTCACCTGAACATTTGCTTGGTGTTCTTCTGCATAAGAAAAAACATAAAGCAAATCAGAACCATATACTAATTTTGGCAGGCATACAGGTTACTAAGTTCCTTTTAGTGCGGTATACAATATGAAAGTACAGTGGTGGTTGCCAAAATGTTTTTAACACTGAGAACTGATGCTAGCAGGTCTACTACAAGCCTTCAAAGGAAAAACCAAGCTGCTCCACCACAAACCTAAGGTAACAAATGTAATCCTTTTCCACACAGACATTCCCTGTGAGCAGCAGGCATCCAAAGACCTGTACTTTTCAGATTCCTCTAACATCGAGGTAGGTGCAGGTGCAGGTCCTGTAACTCAATACATAAGAAGTCACGGCCAACATCATAATGCTTATTTTAACAGTAGAGCTCAAATGCGGGGTAAGTTTCTACTGCATAGCAAAATAAATGAGCTATGCCACAAACACCCATCGGTTTAAATCAACAGTAACCTGGGAGCGAAGCAGGGGTGAGATAGGGATGTACAACTAAAATACACACCTGTGTTCTTCAGAGATCCCGCTGTTTCAGTGAGACAGGTTCTCAAAGACTTCACCTCATGCTGGTCTAAGTGAGGGTCCCCCTGAAACACGACAGAAATAGCAGTGGAGGTGCATGCATTTTCTGAGACCTTTAGCCTGTTTCAGGGGCTGTACCTGCTCAGCTGGGTTAGTTCTGAGTAAGAAAGCCACCAAGAAACCTCAGAACACCTCAGCCCTAGCGCAGCAGCAGCCTTACGCTGCAAGCGGTTCTCACAGGCATTGGCCATGCCTTTCTGATCCTATCCATCGCTGTCACCTCACCGTTAAACGGTGATGCATCTAGAGAGGATTCGTATTTAGCAGCTAAAAGGTAAATGGCTTAAAATGCAAATTGTTGCAAATTAAATCAGAAGAGTAAGCCAGTCTCCAAGCCTGTCTCGCATCCCCAGACGGTAACTGCATACCTCTGTTGAGATGAATGTTTTTTCTGATCTTTATTAGAACTTCTCTTCTCCCACCCCTTCCCCTGTCTCCAAAACACAAACCCAGCCACAGACGACCCAGGTCAACGTGCAAAAAAACCCACAAGTCAAACCAAAACAAGACCAACAAACTATCTGTGTTTTGAAAGATGGGAAAATTCATCCTGGAAAACTGAACGACTACGGGAAAGGTAATTAACTTTATTTTCACAAGCTTTCAAATAAATCAAACAGATATCAAAATCCAGAGTTAAAACCACAAAGCATTTTAGTATTTTGCAACACCCAGTAATCAGTGTAAAACACGCACCTATGTGCCTTATCCAGGTATTTCCTGGCTGGCATGTGTGCAGTCACAATTCTTTTCTCCCCCATGTTCTCCTAGTATGTGTAAAAACTACTTCAAACTAAAGAAAAGTGATCAAGAAAGTCACTAAAACCCCCCAATTTTTAAAGAGAGAGCTTTGGACTCTTAAATATTTAGTATTCTTTGGCGTATTTTTCAGAAGCCTTTGCCTAGAAATAACATTTTTATCATCAATGTTTGCTAGAGGGGAGGAAAAAAAAAAGCCACAACCATGTGAGTCTCCTGTTTTGAAAGAGGAAACTAAGAGTGATTTCCTCTCTAATTACAAACAGTAATTCTAAAAATGAAGAATAATGTTTTAGATTAAAAACTGAATTACCAACCTGGAGCCCCCCCGTAGCACTACGCTACTATTACCAGTGTGAAATAACCATTATTCAGTGGTTACTACCTTGACTGGGGACGATGGCGCTAGTGGAATGTGCAGTACTCATAAAACATGGATACGGGGCAAGGAGCTTTCTACTTCTCGGTTTTGGTCACCGGTCACTTTTGTTCTTGGTCCTGTCACATACCTGCCTCACACCATCCCAACAGTATTTAAGAAAGGGAAAAGCTTGATATTTTAAAATAATACTGCCAGTCTTCTGAAGTACAGTCCAATTTCACACTGGACTCCTGACTGGATAAATAATGACACACGTGCCCCAAGACAGAGATAAGAAACAGGAAACCTCTGCCTAGTCACTCCAACCCAAATATGATGCAGGGAGGAATTTTTGCATTTGCTTACTTGTTTCGACCAGCTTTCCCCGGGAGTTAAAGCACAGCATTCAGCACGATCCTCCTCAGCATCTTGTGCCTCTTTGTCTTCTTTCTGGTATCCATCACTAGAACAGTCTAATTTCCTGAAGTTTCTTTTTTCATTATTTTCATCCTCTTCAAGGTCTCCAGCCTTTCGTGTAAGAAGTTCCGCTGGCCCATGAGAAATCACCTTGAGCATATCACCCAATCCCTCTGTCTTCTGGCAAAAGGTCTCTACTCCCCAAGTCCGGCGATGCCCAGCTGACGGCCCGTCACCGCGCACTAGCAGCGGCGCCGACACATCAGATTTGGCATCTAATCCAACGCTAGGCTCCGACACCGCCATAAGTTCGGTGGAGAGGCTCTCGGGCAGTCCAGTGTACAATTCCCCTACTGCAGCAGAAGAATCAAGGAGAGATTCCACCCCCAATGACAGCATCAGGGCAGCTGAAGGTCGGTCGTCCTGAGCTTTTCACAGTTTACCCTGAAAATAAAAGCACCGATAAATCAACGTACGTAGGAGTAATCGCTACGCTACAAGGAGACCTTCATTCTCGCTACGCTACAAGGAGACCTTCATTCTTCAGAATGCAAGCGTACAGTCAACCCCCTGCTTAAGAAAGGTAAATTACTTTTTAAGAAAGGAGCTGAGAAACATTTGAGTAGCTAAGCAGATGCTTCGTTAACAAGAGTACGGACACACAGATGTTCCCAAGCCCCGTTTTCACGTTCGAACGTCTCCCTACCTCATCCTGGAAAGCCTGAAACAAGACTATAAGGCAAATCCCTAGGGCTTGTGTTAGGCATCCTACTCCTTAGTGGAAACGGAAGCATCGCTTATTTTTCTCGTCTTTGGAAAATCCCTCTCTTTTCTTCCTACGCCTTCTGCCTCGAAGAACACTTTCTAAGCCATCATTCGTCACACGCTGCACCTCGTGGCTTCCCACATCAGCACCCCGATAGGCCCCCCGCCCTGCCATATGGAGGATGCCTTGTGCCAGCACTGCTTTTCCACACAGCCCTGGTACCAGAGTCGGGATCCTCTCCAGCCCTGAACGCAGCGCTCCCCTGCACCCCGCTTGGCAGCGAGCACGGCCGGCAGCGAGCACGGCCGGCAGCGCAGTTCGGCTCTTCAGGACCCCGATAAGAAAACGCTACGACCTAACGGCTGCTGGAACGGGGTAAGCCGGGTTTTTCACACAAGCACCAGTTTCTCCTCTTCGGAAAACAGGGGCTTGTTAGCGGAGCGTTGATGTCCCGTATCCTTTGGAAAGGCGGCCTGTAAAGCAACCG